TTTTTTTCTCAATATATGCTTTTTTTTAATTAGAAAAAAGCATGCTTCACATATCAATCCCACCCCTCCTCCCTTGTCCCTCCACCAGTCCCCCCAGCCTCTGACCCAATCTCCACACCATTCCCCATGGAGGGTGAGGCTCTCCATGGGGGAATCTCCGGAGTCTGTCATTTCAACCAGGGCTGGACTTAGGCCCTTCCCCATGTGTGCAGGCTGAGAGAGCATCTCTCCATGTGGAGTGGACTCTGAAAATTCATTTGTATGCCATGGTAAACAGTGATCTACTACCCAAGATCCCAGAGATTTCTGAGGCCTCCTCACTGACACTACATTCATGGAGTCTGGATCAGTTCCCTGTTGGCCTCTCAGCCATCAGTCTGGGATTCAAGAGCTCCCCCTTATCCGGTCAGCTGTCTTTGTGGGTTTCACGATCATGGTCTTGACCCCTTTGCTCATCACTCCTCCATCTCGGTCGCTGGGTTCCAGGAGTTCAGTTCAGTGTTTAGCTGTGGGTATCTGCCTTGACACTAGTGAGATTTCCAGAGATCTACAAGGAAAACACCAACTGGCAAACTCTTTTCTTACCATTAGTTTGCATTGTATGCCTTGGTGTGAGGGCTTTTGCTCTGTCTTACAGCATTTTGTTTTGTGTGTCTGCTTGTTGCCTCTTGGAGACCTGCTCTTTTTCAGGAAGGAGAGTAGCGGGGAAGTGGTGGGGAGAGCTGGGAGGGGTACAGGAAGGGGAAACCATAGTCGACTTGTATTGTATGAAAGAAGAATCTATTTTCAATTAAAAGGGGGGAAGGGAGGAAAAAGAAAATTCCGGAAAGAAGTTGTGAAGAGAATTAGGTAGAGGGGAGCAATAGGGACAGAAGAAGGCAGGACATAAGCTTTGGGATTTGCTGCTTCATTGGATACAACTTCTACAGTCCACATATAAAAACAAGAAGGGCACATGAATTTGTGAAACTCCTTAAAACTACAATTATGTCATTTCTAGGATTTTAAATCTACTTGTTCTGTTCAATTTGTAATGCAATTGTCTTTCTAAATAAAAAATAACAATGACTAGGATTTTGTAAGAGTCACTCTCTTTAAGCACTTCTGCTGGTTTTACAGTCATGGAAGCCAAGTCCCAGACTCAGAGCACCTGCCCAAGATCATTGGGGTGGTGAAGATGGAGCCAAGCTTACCACTGTAGTTCTAGATGTATTGCAGTTAATCATGCATTAGCTCACAGCACACATTGTCAAGACCAGAGATGTATGTTAATGTTAGTCATTACAAGACAGAGTATCTATCAATGGACTTGATTATTACACAGAGAGAATACAGGTGCAGTGAAGCAGAGTTAGGAATTAAGGATTAGCCATTTCCCTGCTGCTTCTGAATGTTCCAGATTTCATCCCAAGTCTTCTTGCCAGAGAGGTAGATTGAGAATGAAAACGACTTACAAGTCAACTAGTGATGACACACGCCTTTAATCCCAGCACTCCATAGGCAAAGGCAGGCAGATATCTTAGTTCAAGGCCAGCCTAGTCTACATAGTGAGTTCCAGGATAGCCAGGGATGCAGAGAGAAACTCTGTCTCAAAGAAAAAAGGAAAGAAAGAAGGAAGAAAGAAAAAAAAAGAAAATGATTTACATCGTCTCCCCCTTCATTGAGAGAAGATATATATATATAATCTTACTAGGAATCTCAGGCAAACCATTGGATTTTTCTTCTCTTGGAAGGAATAAATTAGAAGTGTATCAAATCAATGTGTAGTTACACCCGAATAGAGTGACAAATGATCCCACTTACTGAAGAGTTCCAGTTTGTGTGTGTTTGTAAACCAGAGGGAGGGGGATGGCTGCAACAAATGAACGTTGGGTAGAAGCATCTAGAACAGCAGGACGTGACTTCTGCCCTGTTCTTAAAAACAGACCAAATCAGAGAAGGAGGCAAAATAGAACATGAACCTGAGGTTCCAGCTGACAGAGGGGTCTTAGAAAAAAATCAATTAGTGTAACTCAGTACAACACCAGGTACTAAAAACCAAAGTGGGCCATTCACTTCCAGAACTTTTGCATTCCATACATACCCCAAACTGATGTGAAAACTGACAAGCAGATCTACCCAGGTCCAGAGATGGGCTTGGTATGCAAATACTAATGGAGAAATGCCACGTAATACTCATTTATTTGCCTCCTTATAAAAGACTAACAACATAGATTAGCTTCTGATGATTAAAACACTCGTTGCATGCTATTGTTTCAGATTCACTGCTCACTTAATGCTTTCAAATTAACTGCTTAGATTCACTGTGTTGATTTTAATAAGGTTCATTTAAAATAGCAAAATGTTTTCCATGTGTCTTTCACTTTTCTAAGCAGTTCTGGCTAATTTATTCCCCTTTCCAAATCAGACAATAAAGGCAGTCTTTCCCATTTTGCAGGTGTGGAAATCTAAACAGAGAGCACGTATGTGACCCACTCAAGGTGGGTTTTGGTAGCCTGCGTGATTAGCTCAATTCAGCACAGTCTAGTCTTGGAGTTTGCCTTGACATACAGCCCTTCTCTGATTGGATGTCGATGCCCTTGACTACAGTATCATGCAGTGAATCTATTCGCCTCTTGTTCCTGAGAAGTCTCTTTCATGCCTCACTCAAATGGCATTGTCAAAGAGGACCCACAGAATAAAATCAGAAGGTGTTTATAACTATGATTTTATCCCCTTCATTTCTCTGTGACTATGTTCAGCTTAGATACAGTTAAAACCAGAACCAAAGAAGAAAAAAAGCCACAACTCCTTTCTTGCTTTAGTTCTTTACTGAGTCTCAATTTGACCTTTGATATGTCTAGGTAGGCTTATTATCTACATGCCCAATGTAATTTGATGGTGAATTTTCAGGGTAGGCCTTCTAGAAAGGGTTGGAAAGGAACTGACCCATTTCTTTGATTTTTCTGACTTGGACTTACTCTTTACCTCCAATTATTCACTCACTGGCTTCCTTCCCTCTTTTGAGGCTTGAGAAACTAGGTCAGGCAGAGGATGTCATAGTGGTTTGCACAACTGGGAGTTCTCCTTGGATTCCACAGGCCTTGGTGAATGTGCTGGCTTGTTTTAAGTCAACTTGACACAAGCTATAGTCCTCTGAGAGGAGGAAACCTCAAATGAGAAAATACCTCCATAAATTCTGACTATAGGCAAACGTGAGGAGTGTTCGCCTCACCCCTCCACTCCCCTCCCTCCCTCCCTCCCTCCCTCCCTCCCTCCCTCCCTCCCTCCCTCCCTCCCTCCCTCTCTCTCTCTCTCTCTCTCTCTCTCTCTCTCTCTCTCTCTCTCTCTCTCTCTCTCTTTCTTTCCAGAATCAGATAGGAGCCAATTGTTTGTTTAGAAACTTTGTAAAAATTATTCTCATACTTCAGTTTTAATTTTTCTTTGTTTGGGCATTTTTTGGGGTGGGAGATGAGGTTAAGAGTGGGGGTAGTGTGGGAGTTGAGATCTGGTCTCAAGTAGCCCAGGCTGGCTTCAAATTAAGTATGTATTGGAGGATGACTTGAACTCAGGATCTCCTACTGTGACCCTCACAAGTTGAGATTATGGTTGAGTACCATCACACCTGGCTTAGTTCCTCCTGTAATTAAAGGGAATGCAATGTAATGTGTTTTTAAGCTTGACAAAGTCACAGAATTCAAACTCTCTGTTAAATCATTAGTTCTTTGATTTCAAATTAATTTCTAAGTTCTCATGCAAGTGTAAGATGTGTGCTCATGGAGCTCTCCCCGTAGTGTGGTCTTTCTGTAAGGACACAGCACTCCACAGCAAGAGAGGACAGAAGGGAGAAGGGGAAGCAGGAGGGAGAAGCAAGAAGTGGAGAACAGGGTGGAGGCATAAAGAGTGCAAATTCTCACAGTCCCCCCAAAGCTGTAAATGTACTTATTCAATGATGCCGTTTCCACTGCATGTAACATGAAGGGGGCCAAAGAGAGACTGAACTGCACAGATTTGCTTGAAACACCCTCCTGCTCCCACATGTGTTTAAGTTTTCAGTTTCTACTTCTTTCTCATGTGAATCCAGTACTGTCGATGTGTGGAGTGGCTATTTAAGGAATGAGCGGCCAGTCTGGGCAGCTCTCATGTCTCAAATAAATAGGTAAAGGGAAGTTCTGCACCTTGCTAACTCAGGAATGAGGAGAGCACAATGATTAACAGAGGTGGTGTTCAGGAGACCTGACCAGCAGAAGTGGATTTTCCTTCCCTTCTTGATGTGAGATTATTATTTTAATCTCATAAATGATTAAATGCATCTCTGTCCTTTGCTGCTTTGGGTAATTAGTAACACGGCTTTTTTTGAAACAAACAATAATGATGATAAACATAGTTTTATCTCCCTAGATCAGTTTTTAATCTTCCTAATGCTGCCACCCTTTAATACAGCTCCTCACGTTGTGGTGACCACCAACCATGAAATTATTTTGTTGCTACTTCCTAACTGTAATTTTGCTACTGTTATGAATTGTAATGTAAATATCTGATATGCAGGATATCTAATGTGTAACCCTGGTGAAAGTCACAACCCACAGGTTGAGAACCACTACTCTGAATTTTTTAAGCAAAGATCAGTTTTATATGTAATTCCATATGCACAACCTCTCCCGAGACAGGCAAAACACAGGGGAACTAGGAAGCTTACAGAAAAGGGAAGCATAGCATGTGATGATAACTTTTGTGTACTTCACAATCCTGCTGTCTAGCATTGTTCTTTTGGTTATAGTCCCCTGGACCAAAGACTGCATTTTTATACCACTGGTGAAAACTATGAATTGGTAGTACAGGCTTAGGAATAAGTATCATTTATAGATTATAACTTGAATACAACACAAATCTTATCTTTCTACCAATCAAAGAAACATTACCACCACCACAAACCATATCATTACATATACATGCCCACATAGACTTACACTCGAACTCATGTGCACACATAGACATGCACATCTCCAACACAACAGAGCTCTACATTATCTCTTTATTCTTATATTATAAAATACACTTGTCTTTCTGGGTTGTTAAAAGTCACAATTTCCCTTTCCATAGCTAAGCCCAGATGGGATAACCACAGTTAATACAAAGCAGAACTCTCATTCCCTCCCTGTGTATAAGTACTATTTGGTCTTCTTTCACAATACTGTCTCATATCATCTTTTGCCATTTGCCTATGTGTACATCTGTTTGATCTAGCTTGTTAGTAAGAGATGGAAGATATTTTTACAACAAAAGAAAAGAAAGTCTATCTTCCAGACCACTGTTACTGCAATTTATATGGGCAAAGACTAAGATTAGTTTCTGGAAAAGTATATAGTACTCTTAGAGTCGAATGCTAGGATTTCATGGGCCAACACAACCCTGTCAAATGTCTCCTAACTGTGATGTAACACAACACAAGTTCCTCATGAACAAAAGCTCAATGTCTCAAAGCAATGCCTATTCTCCCTGGGGAATAAACCCAATCAGGCTTTATCTCTCTGTGATGTGAAACCTAAGCCCTACACCCAGAGTTTAATTACCTAGCTAGAAGACTAAAGGAAATGATTGCATTTACCTTACAGAGAACTTGAGATTCTGAGAGGCAAAAGTTCAGGAGACGACATACATTCATTAAAACTCAAAAAGAAAGGATATTGTTAAAAGGTCTTCCACAAGGGAATGATGTTTATCCTACTTTTGAGGCTATTAGTTATCCAAAATTGGAAGGGGGGATGAAGTGAGTGACTTCTGTGTTGGTTCTTTTTGCTATTGCCAAGGTTACTGCCAAGGTTTCTATTGCTGTGAAGAGACACCATGACCATGGCAGCACTTACAAAGGAAAACATTTAATTGGGTGGCTTGTGGTTTAGAGGTTTAGTCAATTATCCTCACAGTGGGACATGGTGGCATACAGGCAGACATGGTCCTGGAGAAGTAACCCAGTATTCTACATTTTGACTTGCAAACAACAGGAAGTGATCTTTCTCATTGGGCATGGGCTTGAACATATATGAGACCACCAAACCCACCTCCACAGTGACAGACTTCCTCCAACAAGGCCAAACCTACTTCAACAAAGTCACACCTCCTAATAGTGCCCTTCCCGATGAGCTTTCGGGGGCCAATTACATCCAAACTACCATAGTTACTGACTTTCTAAGAGCCAGTCCTGTTCCAGTTATGAACTGGCATGAACTCTCTTGAAATAGGACATCTAGAAGGTTCCAGATCTAATCATACATATGCATCCCTGTGCTCACTTTATATAATATTTTCTACCTGCAAGGATGAGAAGGTGTGTTGTGTAGGGGAAATCTCACATTCCCAAGATACTGTCCATGCTCCTTAGGGGCATGGACAGGGCACGTGGGTCAGGTGAGGACAAAAGGAGAAGAGAAAGCAAATCTCTCTCTCTTGGATGCTAGCCACGTTTCCGAGGGTTTCTCATCTTCCCAGTTTCTCGTGTAAGTGTTAATAAATATCCTTGTTCCCCCTTTGCCTTGATTCCTTTTCAGTGTTGGCTAAACTTGCTTCTATTTCCTTGTTTGTATTGGAGGGATTCTTGCCTTTGGAAACTGAGTTTCAGGGAATGTTCCTTTTTTTGGAAAATTGGAAAAAGCCAACTGTCTCCATGGCCTTGTAGAAGTAGCATGCACACAGAAAAGGGATCTGAATTCCATTTCTTATAGAAAGGCTTTCCTTATCACTTTATGTTTAAATTATATGATGATGTAGCATAGGCCAGAAAAGTAACAAAGGGTTTTCAAACAGAGAAAAACATAACAACAACAACAACAACAAAAATCCAACAACTGAAGGGCAATGGAATGCCCCCTTCCCCTTTCTCTGATTTCGTAAGAGACCCACATTTGGTCTCTCGTTAGGGATGTAGAATAGGATTTTTCTAATTCTTAATTTTGAAGAAGGTGAACTATTTATGCAGGTATTTCTGCATTGAATTCTTCCAGCCTCCCATGCACCTACCAAGCTACATTCAATAATATGCAGTTGATTACTTTCTTCCTTTCCATTTCAAAATCACAACGAAGCAACAGTAGTTCCACTGGCACTCAGTGAACATTCAGGAATAGATTGACATGTCATATTTGCTGTTTCAGAAGGAATGATCAGAATGGATAAGTTTTAATATCAAAAGTTCCAAAGTGTGAGTCTCTCATAGGCAACGGAAATTTGAGGGCCATATGACAGGAGGGGCAGTCTGGAGGCTCCAAAATCCAAGGGAAAAGGCACCACTTATATCACAACATCATTCCATTCTTCAGGGGGCTCTACAAAATGTTCTAGAGGGAAAATGCAGTGTCTATTGGTTATTAATAAACTCATAAAATTTCAAAAAAAGTTATTGCACAGGGGATGTGTCTCCACAGAGTGATAATTCAAAACCAAGCAATTAGAGCAGGCTCCTTGCATGGGATCTTTAGTTGTCTGCATCGGAGACTGTATCATTGCAGTGACAGTTGTCACCAGGCTGAATAAACACAAAGTACTGAAGCTCAAAATTAATCTTTTCATTACACCACAGAGGGATTTGCAACTTGACTCAATTCACACCAAGCATGTTGTGTTGTGAGGCAAACTTAATGGAGGATATCTCACTGAGGGCCAAAGATTTGGAATAGAGGTAGCATAAAGCTATCACAGCATCCAAGACTCACTAATGAAAAGAGATTAACATTCAGGGAAGTGGAACAATGAAGCGGCATTGGTCTCAAGGGATAGCCTCCAAGTTTAGGACAAATTCCATAGAGTACAGCTACTCCACCATCTCACTGTTTATAGAACATCTGTTGGGCACCAGAGAGGGTGGTTTCCTCTGGGAAGCAATACACAATAGGATCAGTCAGCAATAATCACATAGAACATTTTAGTCAAAGCCTCACTTTTTTGGCTGGGAAATGGAGGGCAAAAAAACCTATTTAAATCCATGCAGAGCTTACTGTATCCTGACCAGCTATCAGAAGAGGAAGAGCCGACTGATTTTCTCCAGTTCCAGTGCTCTCTCTAGAGAGTATCTGTCCTTTCATGTAATAACTATAAAGCTGTCCCTTTATCTGTTTTGACTTTCTGTTTTTCAGTTACTCAAGGTCAAATACTGTCTGAAGTTATTAAGTGGAGAGTTCCAGAACTGAATGATCAATCAGTTTTCAATCGTGTGCTGTTCTGAGGGTCTTGACATCTTATTCCATTCCACTTGATCCTGTCTTGAGTAAGAATCATCCTTTCACATAGTGTATCCACTGTATGCATATATTACCTGTCTGTTAACTCCTGGTGTCTATTGTTTATAAGATTGACTACTGTGTTCAAGTGACTCTTATTTATTTGGGTTGGTTGGATTGGATTTGTTTATTTGAGATAGGATCTTGTTGTAAGGTCAGGAATTCAGGCTCTTCCTGCCTTATCTTCCTGAGTTCTGAGATGTCAGGCAGGTATACACCAGCATACTATATTATTATAATTGTTCTATTTTATTAGCAGCCATTGTTGATACCTCACTATACCTAATTTATGGATTAAACTTTATTATAGACATGCATATAGAGGAAATGCAGTACATATAGGTCAGTACAAGAGGCTTCAGGCATCCATTGAGGGTCTTGGACTTTCTTCTTGTTTAGTAGGGTGGGTAACTGTAATGGCAAAGAGACATCTTTAGACCTTCTGTTCTTGGCCATTCATGAAATATTTTCCTAAGTATCTGTCTTTAATGCTAGACACACCACTACAAAGATGAAGAAACTATGGCACAGGGAGGAGGCAATGATTTCTTATGACCACGTGGTTCATTCAGAAAGTGACAGAAGGACTCTAGCCAGAACTCCTCATGTCCTCCTATGATAATGCCATCAAGATCCTACAGCCAGAGGAGTCTATAACCCAGAAAGGGCTGGGAGCTCAGACTACAAGGAATGCAGTATCAAATAAACAATAGAAGTAGCTACTTCTTTAGGTGAAAGGCATGAGCAACAGACACTGGAGCAGATACAGAAAAGCTATAATGAAAGCTGAGCTAGAGGAGGGTTACGAAAATCAATAGTCATGTGCAGAGTTCAGGGACTTCCTAAACTCGGTGGTGTTCTAAGAATCTGGGAGCATCTTGCTGTAACATGGATTTTGAATCAATAGATCTGGGTGGTAGCTCAGTTGCTTGCATTTTTAGGAAGCTCCCAAGAGATTCTGCCACTGTTGACTTGTGGAGCCCCTTGGGGTTCAAGTCTGATAATTGCCTTCTGTACCTCCAAGGAAGTACTTCTGATATCCCAGTGGCTCCTGGTATTTGCCTTCATGCAGCTGCTGACCATTTCTGATGTTCAGTTTGGCTTACTAGCAAGAGTAGCACTGATGGGAACTTAAGAGTCACTTCTCCATGGTTATTAAGAGGGGAAGATGAGGGGCTGGTTGGCCAGCAGGAACTTGGACATGTCAGTAGGCATATGCATCTCCCCAATTTGCAGAGGGAGCTAATGACCTTGGACAGTGACACTGATTAGAGAGATGGAGAGGATGCAATGCTATAGGGATTCCCAGACCATAGGACCTTACAAAGATTCTGTGCCCTCATTAAGAAGCACATGTATGTAATACCGCAGACAATTCCCAAATCTTCATAGATATTTCCCATACAAGGTCATGGGCCCAAGGTTAAGGAAAAAGTCTTTTGACCCTAACAAGGCTCCTGGAACTCTTGCAGCACAAATTCCAGTACAAGTAACAGACAGCATGCACCTATAAAAATAAAAATGGTTTAAATCAAAGTGCAATTTGTAAATATTTAAACACTTACTCTCATAATAATTAGGGCCTCCTGTCTTTTTTCATTGCTCTGAGAATGCTTGTTACAAGTTTTTTCACATTTTTCAAATTTTTAATTGTTTTATTATCTCTAGTTAACAAAGCTTTACAACCTATTAGAGAAATAAATTGGTCTAATGAATTAATTACTAAAATCCACCTCTGCCAATGGTGGCTGGAGACGCTCATGAATATTGGAAGCATGCCCTCTCCTCAGCAGTGTGCACAGAGTTGGCTTCTATGATGAGTGCCAGGTGATGAGGGGAAGGGTTTGGGCTTCAAACTGCTGGAAACCCAATTATACACCACTGAAGTACAACTGGAATTTTTCACATTCTTTTAAGTATGTGTGTAACTTTTAAGTTTGAGACCTAATGCTCATGGGCTTAAACTGAAGACTCCAAGAGAAGTGACCTATTTGGCTCAGTTTTAATTGTGCTGCCAGCATCAGTAACATGCAAGTTAATGCAGGTATGAAGAAAGGACTTTATAGACCATCAGGCTGCACAAGGAACAGACATTCTGGGTTCTACAAGGAGGGAAACCTGGAGCAGTAGGGCAACTACAACAAGAAGGGCAGGGATCTGTATCCCAGACCTGGTTGGTTGCTCAGCACTTCATGTCTTTGCCCCTCAGCCCTCAGATCTGCTTCAATTTTATCCTACATAGGATCTGTCTGGTTAGTTCTGTTATATGCCTACTAATGCTGAGTACTAAATGACCTTTTAGGGGTACTGGGGATTTAACCAGTGCCTTGCACCCACTAAATACACTGTATCCCACCTCCAAAAGAGTTCTTCAGAAACAAGGGTGTCCACTTTGGCAATGGAGGTGGACTCTCTAGAGATTCTGAGTAAATTTTCACTTATTACAATCTCCATCTCTGACATTAGGATTCTAGGTACTTTCTTTTCAAATGTGAAGTAAAGGTAAGGATCACTGTAGGATGTGTTTTATAAAATCATGATCCACAAAAATAAATCAATCTTGAGTTTTTCTATAAACTGTTTTTGAGGCAGGATGTTCTTTAATCTAGGCTTGTCTGGAACTCACTATCTATCAGAGGATATTGTATTCATAATCCCCCTTCTTCCACCTCTCAAACATTGGGATTATAAACATGAACAACAACATCATTTTTATCTAAGAAAAATGTCTATCATTTTTTAGTGAATATAATACTCCCTGGAAATAAAATCCTTATCAAAGAGATGCATAGACACTATCAAATGGGAAACTGAATGCAAAAATTCTTAAAACTACATATCCAGCGACCAAGTTTAATTGTATTTATTTTATTTTTAAATATGTGAAGTGAATGTGTGCATCTGTGTGTATGTGCACGTGTGAGTGAAGGTGCCCACAGAATCCAGAACGAACATTGGGACCCCTGGAGTGGGAGTTACAGGTGGTCTGTGAGCCTCCTGAGGTGGGTTTAGGAACTGAACTCTGTCCTCTGCAAGAGCAGAAAGTGCTCCTAACAGCTGAGTCATCTCTCCATTCCTTTGTTTAGTGTTTGACAGAGTTGGTAAATGGGGTTCAACCCTCATGCCAACTAAGATGAATGATAAAAACTGCAAAGGGCTTTGTGCTGAGAATAATTGAGGTTCACGACAGTGCTCAGGGCAGGATGTTGGAATTGATGTATGAGGTCCACTGTAGCTCAGGAGTTGGGGGTGGGTGTCAAGTAAACATCCTTCTGTACTATTACACGATATTCACCACATAGTGGAACACCTGTGTAAATACCAACAATGTTTGTATTCCTGATTGCCAAATTTGGGTTCACTGCAGAAAGTCCGAAAGAATAGTTAAAAATAAGACAGTATACACGGTCAGCACTCTATCACTTAGAGGTGTGTTAGCAGCACTGAGAGACATCTCTCTTCCCCACCAAAGCACTGTTTTCTAAGAATGGAGTATTCACCAACTTGTAAACTGACTCAAAGCCTTTCAGAATCATTTAAAACTCCCTGGCATTTTATTTGAATCTTCCTGTAGTTCAGCCACTATCCTTGAATATGGCAGTTCCTATTTTTAACCATTTGAATTACTCGAATTCCATGAAAATTTTGTAGTCAAATCTTTGTCCCTTGGCATGATTTTAAGGTATTTATTTTTATTATTTTAATTATGAGTGTGTGTGTGTGTGTGTGTGTGTGTGTCAGGGGGATGTGCACATGAGTGTAGCTGCCTATGAAGCCAGAGGTACCAGATCCTAGAGGAGCTGGAGTTGCAGGAGGATGACCCATGTGTGGGTGCTGGGAGTAGAACTCAGAGACGCTGGAAGAGCAGCATATGCACCTATGCCTCTAGCTTGGAATTACGGCATTAAAGTGTATTCCTACAACACATTTCCGGAACAACATAAACATAAATGATTTTTGTATGTGTCAATAAATTGGACTTCTGAAATGTAGAAACATGTTTACTAAATCTCTCAAAATTGAAATTGGTAGTTTTAAATGTGTCCAAAGACTGGTTAATATTTAAGAGACTGTTTAAAAAATTCTGTGGTTTAAATGAACAACTAGCTTTTCCTAAACTTGTCTCTGTACACGGGATTAGAATGAATCACATCAGTGTCATATTTGGAAGTATGTGGGTGACAAAATACTTTTTTTAAACATAAGACATAATGGAACAAGATACCTGCCTGTCACAAATATCTTGACTCATTAGGTGGGTCAGGACTTCATAGTGAACTCTACTTCAAGATGTGTTAGAGAAATCACAAAAATCTTCATACAAATATGAAGAATAAAGTTCTACACTGCTATCCTGTTTGTAGCACAGCCTGGTGTTTAAATCAAGACCAAACCACATGGGTTAAACCTGAAATGGTCCTGTCACCGAAGTGGAAAATCCAATCTGAAGCTTATACTTATAACTGTAAATCTGTTAAAGTAACTGAAGTGGAGGTGTGACAGATGCATTTGCCTTCCCTACATACATTCAGTTCAACACACTTTACAGGGCGATGGGTGATCACAGTGCAGCCATACATAGTTGCATGCAGGACAAGTAAAAATCATTACAAGGTTAAAACAGTCTTAGCTTTTATTTGGCATCGAGGGTAACAAGTCCTAGGATAGATGAGAGAAAGTTCAAGACATAGGAGCAAAAGAAGATACTGGCATACCCGTAATCATTATAAAGGACAAACACTCTAAGATGGATCCACTGGGAAGGCTTGATAGGAATGAAATTTTGGTGAGAGTCCTTATCCGTTCCTTGTAATGTCTTCCTAAGACTCTTCTTACTTAAACAATGTACTAGCAAAGCAAGGTGTCTGGAAATCAGCACCGCTTAGAAGCCTCTACTCACCCATTATCCATCTTATATCTTTCAGTTCTTTTCTTTCCTTGGTTTAGGAAATGAATAACACTGGATAAAACTCCCCGTTGTATAGTACCTATGACCCCCCTTGATTTGAATTGCCTGAAGAAACCCTGTATCTACCTACCTACCTACCTACCTACCTACCTACCTGCCTACCTGTCTTCTTTCCTTCTACCTTTCTGTCTGCCTAACCAATCTGTCTGGTGCTATCCTTCTATTGGGGACAAAAAAATGAAATCAATAAATATTTTGCCTTTTCATTCCAAGTTGTTGTCACAGATACAAACAACTATTGCTGAAAGATATGATTAACTTATCCAAACAAGATTCATCTACTCATCTAATCACAAACCACTTGGTTATCCACTCTATTTTAACACTGTGTGGTGTTTACAAAAAAAATGCTGCATCTCTGCAAGCTAAGGAAACACTGGGAATGTACGAAAGAACACATGTGTTTCAACATCTTCTTTCAGAATTAGACTCCGTGTTTTGAGAAGCAGACATTTGTTTGCCAATATGTAGCATGGAAAGAAAAAAAACAAGACTCTTTGTGCCTTTGAAACCACAACAGCTGCTTTGAAAAATAATCACAAAAATAGTAAACCATGGAATGGTAATTGCTCAACTTGTCATCTGATTGCTGGATTAAAAACCCCAAGATTTGTAATTACAGCTCTCAGCAAACAAATTCCTAACTCTGAAGATATCTGTCCTTTTGGTGATATTTTTAAAAACAGTGTTGTTGAGGGAATTGGATGAGTATTTTAGTCATCATAAAAATTCAATTCATATTTATTATTGGAGAAAATGTATAATGTAGATCTGATTTACTCAAATTCATTGTTGTACCATGTAGTATCCTATAAAAACATAATTTTCTAGTATTACGACATGCTAAGAATGGCAGTAATTACACACTTTAAGATTTATGTGCGGATGGAGAGATGGCTCAGCAGTTAAGAGCACTGAGGTTCTAAGTTCAATTCCCAGCAACCACATGTTGGCTCACAATCATCTGAAATGAGATCTAGTGCTCCCTTCTGGCCTGCAGGGATACATGGAGGCAGAACACAGTATACATAATAATAAATAAATATAAGAAAGATTTATGTGTATGTGTGTGCACACACATGCATAGAGGTACTTACAGAGGCCAGAAGAGGGCATCAGATCCCCTGCAACTGGAGTTACAGGTGTTTGTGAGCTGCCTCACATGGATTCTGGGAACCTAACTGGTCCTCTGCAGAGCAGCAAGCACTCTTAACCATCTCTCCAGCCTCCACTTCCCACTTGAACCATTTCTTTAGTAGCTGATTTGGGTTCTGGGACTTGAGTTCTGACCCTTTGCAAGAACAGCAAGCATTCTTAACCACTGAGCTATCTCCACAGCCCCTGATAATATTCTTTATATTAAAAAATGAAAAGAGATGGGTAGAAGAATGCTTACCCAGCAAGCACAGGCTCGCAGTTCAATCCCAAGGACTTCAAACAACCACCCCAAAAGGCTGAGAAATCCAATCAGTAGTATTTTACAATGACACCAGTCGTTTTTTCTGTTTGATAAAAGACCAAATACCTACATTCTATTA